CTTCATGCTGTGTCAAGTCAGTATCAGTATTAAGCTAATGGACTCTATAAGGAAATATCTAGACATTTACTGAAAACCAATATAAAAATCTGGCCCAGAAAGACTAGAACAGAAATATGCAATTTTCTTGATTTAAGATGGTCAAGTGTGTGTTTAAAAAAAAAAAAGCTCTACACACTGTTTAAGACAAGTATGTATAAGAAGCTTTTTTTGTGTGTGCTGACTTTATCATGACAACTCTAGCTGATTCTTTATGAAGGATTAGGGATACACATCTTCAGCAGTGCACAAGAGAAATAAACTCTGAAAAAGGCAATTTCTTGGGTTTAGGAAGGACCGTATTCTGGGAAGTACTTCAGAGGAACGGACAATAATTCTAGGATTATAGCCAGGAAGGACTGGAAGACTTCAGGAGATGCTTCAGCTTCTTCTAGATTTTGAATGTTGAATAAGCCACTGGAGTGTGATATCTAAAGATGGAGGGAAAAAAATTGAAGGCGTTAAGATATCAAAGTTAAGACACTAAACATGAGACAGTATTTAAAATGTAGCTAATTCAAAATACATGCTGTGCCTGCCCTCTTCTACTTTTTGCATCTGTATTATTCTCCATTACCTAAACTTCAAGAGGACATTCTAAGGAATTATGGAAGACTCAGCAGTCTCTGATTTAAAAGTTAAATTATGTTCAGGACAGCCTGTGCCATCTTTTATTCAAAAAAAAAAAAAATTACTGACTGCCTGTTAAGTACTTATGTGAAGTGCCAGGAATGCAAAGATATGGGAGATCCCCTCTCACCCCTCAAAGAGCTTTTAGTATCAAAGGTGGAAAACATAGAACTCATTTGGGCCTAGGAGAAGGGCTGCCCCATAGAATTCCAGGCAAAGGAAACAACAAAAGCAAAAGAATAAACAAAGGCATGAACAGTGTGGAGATCTAGATGGATTATGTGGTAAGTTGTGGATGAAGCACAGGAATGGGGGAAGGTGCTGCCACTCATTGCTAAGGCTACAGCAGGGGTTCTCAACTTCACCTTTTTGACCTTTTGGACTGGGTAAATCTTTGCTGGGACAGGACGAAGGCCTTTCCTGTGCATGGCAGACTATTTTGCGGCATCCATGACCTCTACCCTAAATGCCATTATCACTCCCCCTACACACCCACAGTTGTGACAACCAATAATGTCTCCAGGGATTGCTAAATGTCCCCTGGGGAGCAAAAATGTCCTCAAGTGAGAATCACGGGCTGGAAGGAGCCAGATAACCTTGTATACCACTCTAAGATGCTAATAAGTTTGGGTTTTATTCTCAAGTCAACTGGAAATTACTGGAGAATTTTAAGCAAGGAAATTATATTAATTTATTTTAGGATGATCAATGGCAACAGAAGAGAACAACTTGGAGTTGTCAGTAGACAGTGACGATCACAGCAGGAATAGGAAATGCGAAGGCACGAAGCAAACAAATGCTGTAGGGATGGAAGAAGGAAAATGTGGATTTGACCAAGATACGAACAGAGAAAGAATCTTCTGGCCTCAGTGAGTTGTGTTTGTCATGGAGCTGTTGACACAGTGGTTAAAGTAAGAACAGACTTGAGGAAAACAAAAAGATAAAGAATTTAGTTATAGAGCACATCAGAGTTGAGGTGCAGAAGGTAACAGGCATGGAGATGTCCAGCAGATAGCTTTAGCTATACTGATCTCAGAAAGGGATGGGGACTGGTAAGATGTCACCATAGAGGTGGCAGCTGAAGCTATCACAGCTGAGATTAGCCAAAAAAAAAAAAAAAAAAAAGCACTTAGACTGACAAGAGATGGCAACTAAGTCAAAACAGTGAATTTCTGTCCCTGAGTTCTTTAAAAATGTGTCATCCATATAAAGGGTGAGTCAGCATCTATTAGAAGCAGCACTCAGTTCTCCAAACCTGAAGATGAGTGCAAATTCAATTTCCAAGCTAATTATGAGTTACAGAAACTGTAAGCCACACATGTAAAGAATAGCCTAGAGCTGAGATCTGAACAAATGGAACCTGTTCAGAGTTGTAGAAACAATGATTTAACCTGATTGTTGAATCAGATCATGCGCACTTTAAAAGGACAGCAGGGGCGCCTGGGTGGCTCAGGTGGTTGAGCGACTGCCTTCGGCTCAGGTCATGATCCTGGAGTCCCGGGATCGAGTCCCACTTTGGGCTCCCTGCTCAGCAGGGAGTCTGCTTCTCCCTCTGACCCTCTTCCCTCTCGTGCTCTCTATCTCTCATTCTCTCTCAAATAAATAAATAAAATCTTTAAAAAAAAAAAAAAAAAGGAGGACAGCAGTATGTAGTAAGAGCAAAGCCACATTCATTAGAACTGAATGGGGAGAAAGGTAAATCTGAGTGTGAAATGCCCAGGTTTAAATATTTAAGAAATTCACTTAAAAAAACAAACAAAGCTTGTGGACAGTGGACAGATGTTATATCCCAAAGACAAATGGATCCTTAAGACTAGATAAAAAAGCAGAAAAGAAATAAGATACTCAGATGAAGGAGTCATCTTCCATGACAAAAAGGGCCACAAGTATGAGTCATCTTTGCAAAGATCATGTTCACAGAAGTAATCTGTTCTATGTGTGATGTGAGGACACATTACTAAAGTATTTCATATACCACACTGGTAAGGTGGAAGGAGAATATACAACCCATGTGCACTGAGATACTTTTGGAACAATTTAGTAAATTCATAAATTCGGTTCTAAAATATGTTGTAAAAGGTGAAATTAGGGAGGATGTTCTGATTTGACTACCCAAGAAGTCTAATCTGCTTGGCCCTTAGTTGTATTTCTTGCTCCAAATAAACAGGCATTCTCATTTACAAACTACTTGTTTTGAATCTAGTTAGAGTGGATCCATTTCCTTGAGCTTGATACTACTAAGTGAAGCAGGAGTTCTATCATCACAAACTGTGACTATGGAGCTCTATGACAGACTATGAGGTCAGCCTCAAATAACAAAAGAAGTATTCACCAACTCTCCCGCATTTACTTCTTAAATGAGCTCACAAGATTTTTTTCCAGGAAAGTATCCAGCTGGTTTGTCAAGGTAGTAAAACAAAGGATTTTTTTTCTCCTTTCAGTAACTTTTTTCCCCTATTTTATGAAATACTAGAGAGAATATAAGGGAGTAAAATGGATTTACAGAATAGCACAATGCCCTACAATTATGGTTAATACTGTATGCAGAACAGGGTTTTTCAACCTCACCACTACTGATATTTTAGGCTGGACAATTCTTAGCTGTGGGGACTGTACCATGTTTAGAACATCCCTGGTCTTTACCCACTAAGTGCCAGCATCACACTCTTTGTTATGACAACATTTGGCAGTGTCTCCAAATGTTGCCAAATGTATCCTGGGGGAAGATCCTTCAATGAGAACCAGTGGTGTATAAGCAAATGCTCTCTTGGGGACACAAGAATTCCTCCTAACATGGGGGTGGGAGAATTTTTTTTTTTTCTTTATGAACTCTAAGTAATCCTAAGTGCTTGAAGAGTCTGTTCTCAAATGCTCACAATATAGCAAGTCACTTAGTCTACCCCTTTATAATAGAGGACAGTTTGTGCCCAACAGCAAAGTATTAGGCTCAGATTGCTTTTGGGTGCTCTTTAAAGGAAGCCCAGGGGCACCTGACTGGTTCAGTGCACAGAGCACGTTACTCCTGATCTCAGGGTTGTTAAGTTCAAGCCCCACGTTGGGTGTAGAGTTACTTAAAAATAATAAAAATGAAAAATAAATAAAGGAAGCCCAGAATTAGCCAGAAAACTATCAACACTTTGAGGTCATCAGAGCATGTTTGAGGAGGGGTGAGGAAAGAGTTAATAGACTAGAACTGACTTGGGAAAAAAGTTAACTATGATGAGACCAAATACACACTGAATGAAGGCTAAAGGAAAAAGATAACAATACCTTTTAAACACACTGTGTTGGCACTATGTATTACATCCTACTCCAATACAAGTTTTTGGTTTGTTTGTTTGTTTCTTTTTAATTGGAGGTGTGACTATGGGAGAACGGTCAGAGATACCATGTTTTTGGCTTTGAAGATGGAGGAAGGAGCCATGCGCCAAGAATGCAGGCAGTATCTAAAAGCTGGAAAAGACAAGGAAATGGAGTCTCTCCTAGAGTCTCCAAAAAGAGTACAACCTGTCATTTTAGTCCTTGATTTCTAGCTCAGTGAGAACTATGATAGGCTTCTGACAGCAGCAATAGAAAACTAATACACCCACATGACATCCACCATATGTCAAATGCTGCAATGCATTTTCACATTCCCTCTCACAAGAGAATTTCTAAATTGCTGCCATTATCACCATTTTATAGAGAAGTAAAAAGTGGAGATTAGGGAGGTTACGTGCTTTGTGCAAGGCCAGTCAGAAAATAAATTAGGACCAAGTGTTCTGGCCTGAGGCTGGCTGACTCCAAAGCCCATGCTGTTTGTAGCCTATTACGCGGCAATGATAGACAACCTCATTTTTCTGTAGTGGTCCACAGAGCGATTTTTTTTTCACCAGTGACCACCAAACTGGGAGAGGTGAGGGTGCCATGGAAATCTCTAGGCTCCTACCCAGCTGCTTCAAGATACATGCATTTAACTCTCCTCTCACACTTTGGTTGAACCTGTCATGCCAGACAAGAACTGTGTGACTTAGCCTGAGTAGCTTTTTGTCATGAAGGTACACTTAACCAGTGAGTATGTTTTATTGCACTGTTACAGGTCTTTTCACTCAAACAGCTAACAGGTTGAACAGCCTTTCAAACGTTTCTATTCATCTTTCCTTTTTACCTTTTGATCCTTTTCACCCATTCCAATCCACTTTTATTAAATAACCTCTCACAAATTAGTTAAACTGAAGTTCAGCCAGATATACTTAAATTCTTTAAGGACACTGTGTTGGACTAACAGTGTCCCCCTAAAAATTCACACCTACCTAAAACCTCATTAATTTCTTCAAAAATTGTCTTTACAGATATGAGGTCATACTGAATGAAGGTAGGCCCTAATCCAATGATATGTATCTTTATAAGAAGAGAAAATACACACAGAGACACACACAGAGGAGAAGGCTATGTGAAGCCAGAGGCAAAAACCGGAGAGAAGCATCGGTATGTCAAAGAATGCCAAAGGCAGCCGGCAACCACAAGCTAAGAAAAGGCAAGGAAGGATATTCCCCAACAGCTTTCATGGCCCTGCTGACACCTTGTTTTTGGATGCCTAGCCTCCTGAACTTGAGAAATAAATTTCTGCTGTTTTCAACCACCCAGTTTGTGGTACTTTGCTATGGCAGTTCTAGGAAATTAATACAGACACTAAATAGATAAAGAATACTTTTGGCTTATACTTCCAATAGAGTACTAACATTACAGTAATATACTGGTTCAATAAATGAACAATTGTTTCAGTGCCTATAGACCAATTTTTGTAAAGTCTTCAAAAACACTTTGTTATAAAGCACAGCTGGATACTAGCTCTGCCAAAATTAATACAATAAATTGGTATCACATCATGTTTTAACTTCGTCTATTTCATTTACTTCTTTAAATAGCACAGAGCACATTCAGGATGTTGTCTTGCTGTCAAAAGATATAATGTCTATTCTTTTTCCTGAGGCAAAAAAACAGTCCTCTAAAAGAAGTCACTTAAACAGAAATGGAGATAAGAATAAGAAGCATTAAGACATCCCTTCCAGTGATACCCATTTCTTCCACAGTCATTTCTTACCTATATTATCCTTTTCTTTGCAAGAAATTGAATAGCAGCAAATTTCTCTATCCTGAATAGCAGACAGGTTCCTGTAAGAAGCAGAATTAAGCCAATTAAGTCTGCTTAAAATAACTATCATACCTATCACTCTTTGTTCAATTTTCTTATCTTTTTATACTGAAGAAATTATTTTACTACAAAATTTTAGAAATTCACTTCTCTGGTAGGCCAAATTTACCATGTTTACCTAAAAACATGGCTATTATCATTACTAAGTAACAGGAGGGCCTGGCTGGCTCAGTCAGAAAAGCATATGACTCTTGATCTCAGGGTTTTAAGTTCAAGCCCCACGGTGGGTGTAGAGATTACTTAAAATCTTCAAAAAAATAATAATATAATGATGCTAAGCAAAGCAGTGGGCAAAATAGTATAATTTAGGGGCGCCTGAGTGGCTCAGGCGTTAAGCATCTGCCTTCAGCTCAGGTCAGGATCCCAGGGTCCTGGGATGGAGCTCCACATCGGGCTCCCTGCTCTGCGGGAAGCCTGCTTCTCTGTCTCCCTCTGCCCCTGCTTGTGTTCCCTCTCTCGCTGTCTCTCTCTGTGTCAAATAAATAAATAAAGTATTTTTTAAAAAGTATAATTTAGAACCAATTTTTTTTAAACACCATCATTCATTCTTAAGACATACATTTTTTCAATTAGCTGTTTCTCATCCAAGGCATTAGGAAGATCTCTCTTGTTTCCAAGTACGAGCACCTTTAAAAAAGAAAAGATATTAACAATGAACTTTTATGTAAGAAAAGGTCACAGAAGCATATGATAGTCATATTTGTAGACATTAAAATTGGAATGCTACCACATGCCATAATATTGAGGCATATTTGTATAACTGGTGGCCTATCTCATTTATTTAGTAATTCAAATTAGCATTCATTTCAACTTCTACCGCAAAGATGCCCCAATTCAACATGTGGCTGCCAATTTCTACTAAAATATTCTTAAGTCTATGGTATGTATTCTGCAATTTCTAAATAAATCTCTACCATAATGTGAGTATGATCTTAACACAACCAAGGGGGGGGGGGACAATTTTTTAACCATTTTTTATGTTAGCCATTAATCATACGAACACATAAATTTGCTTTTAAAATTCCTGATCCATCCTACAGAATATCATGTATAAATTTTCTAAGACAATGGTTAAGTCTGGAAATCAGGATAAATATAGCAGTCATAAGCTCTAGGAATAAACGGTATCATCTGGTTGCTAGATGTGCTTCGAAAAGAAAGCAGAGACAGGCTTCTCAATCACCACTCCATCTTTTCTCAGTTAATATCGTTCTTTCTGCCTTAGAGAAAGCAAAGAATATGAGTACATATAACTAATATTTGAGAATATACGTACTCTCAATCAGTGTTCTCTAAGAACATGTAATCTCTGACCCACCTCAACCAAGTACATGCCATGTCTACCTTGCCATACCTATTTTCTTTCACTTAATACACCCCCACCCCCACCCTACTCCATACACTTTGACCATTTCTACTCACAGGACCTAGATTCTTACTTTGCACAAAGGACAAAGAGACAAGGACAGAAGCACAGAACAGTCAGGGACACCGGGAGCTCACAGGACAATGTTAAACCACAGCCTATCTCCTGTTCCCCAACTTTCACCCCTCTCCATACTCTTATTTAAGTCACACTAGATTCTCAAGCTGGACCTGCCTGAATTTCTAAAAATAATATCATGGCCATTTGTGATCAGCTGTCAGTTTGGGGGTTGCCTGGCATTTCAGTCCTCTTACTACATTTAAGAACTCTCCCCTCCTACCTTATGAACCTGCCTCCCAATAAGCTACTTGCTTCTATGGATAATTTTTTCCCCAGCTTTCCTTTCTGCTAGAGCATGGACACTTAATCTAGGATGAACCAAACCTTTCAATGCAGAGGCAGTGATGCAAGAAAGCGGGAGAGAGAACCCATTTTGATAGGGAAAGGGAATCAGCTAGATGACTTTCCAATCAGAACAATTGTGTCTAGTGTTCAGAAACTGCATGTGGTCACCAGACTTACTCTGTGGTGTGAGTCTGGATGTGATCCTGGCAGCTGCTTAGCTTCCTTGTTCCAGCCTATTTCCTGTGCCTACTTACGTGCAGCCTTCTCCGAGACTCTGTGAGCTACCCAATATCCTTTCATTGAATTCCTTTCTACTTATGTCAGCTTTCCATTGCTTGCAACTAAGACGACTTATGGTGACCTTGAGGTAAGACTGATTTTTACCTATGGTAGGTATACGGAACTAAGTTTTAACACAGGAGACAAATAGGCTTTGAAGACATGGATTCGAAACCTGGTTGCACAACAGGTAATGTTACCATGTAACCCTGAAGAACAACTGTTACAAAGGAGGGATAACCACAAACCTCATTATGTTGTAAGGATAACCTGAATTAATATACCTCAAGTATTTGACATTCATGAACTTGTGATGAGGCTAAAGCATGGTCCTTTTCAAACGTTCATCAGCTCAACAAATGGTACCCCTTCCACCTAACTTCATGCACCAGGAACTAGGAATTATATTCTTTACATCTCCACTTCCAACCCATTACCCAGTCTGGTTGACAGCATTCCTAAATATCACTAAAATCGGTTTCCTTCTCACCATCTTGTCTACTACCACCCTAATCCAAGGTACTATAATTTGCCAAGACAACTTCAAGAGCATCCTAAAACTGCCCTTCTTATAGTCCCCCTTGCCAATTTAATCCATTGTCAGCATGGATCTCTGCACTCAGGGCAGAGTCTGCTTCTGCCCCCTCTCCCCCCACCCCCACGTACTTGCTCTAATAAATTAAATCTTTTAAAAAAAAAAAAAAAAGAAAGAAAAAAGAAACACTTCAGAAATAAAGTTTTAAAACACTAGCAACAGCTTCCCACACAGTCCAGCCCAGCCTCCTCTAGTATCCCAGCTGCCGCATGGCTCACCACTCTCCCCACCCTCTCACTTTGCTTTCGCTCTAGGGAGACTGGCCTCCTCTTAGTGCCTTGCTTCCTCCTACCAAAAGGCCTTTGTCTACAACTCTCTTTTCCTCCAATCATCCCCTCCCTCACATGTCTACATATCCCTCACAATTCAGCTCAAGCATCACTTCCTCAGAGAATCCTCCTTTCTTCCCTCAAACTAGATCAAATATCCCCTCTAATTTATAACTCTCATGGCCCCTGGTACCTCTCCTTCATTGCACTTATCGGAGCTGTATTATTCCAGTGATTTCATGGCATCTACCTTTCCTACTAAACCATAAGCTCCATGATGGCAGGGAGCATACTTCTATTCACTTTGTATCCCTAGGACTGAGCACTGCCCCTATTGTATATAGTTTAATAAATAGCTGGTTAAGAAATGAATAAATAGCACAGTGCCCAGTATATGGCTAGTATTGAGTAAAGATAAGCCTTTGAAGATTTTAAGACATTTAACTGATTTCAAACATAATAAATCATATAATTAAATTTTAATAATATAATTATAAATCTTATATAACAAGAACTCCATACTTACTGGAATTCCTTGTAACTGTGGTTTATCTAGAAGATTATGTATTTCATTTCGAGAGGCTTCTATCTTTTCACGATCGGCAGCATCATTTTAATAATATAATTATAAATCTTATAATCATGTAATATAAAATAACAAGAACTCCATACTTACTGGAATTCCCTGTAACTGTGGTTTATCTAGAAGATTATGTAGTTCATTTCGAGAGGCTTCTATCTTTTCACGATCGGCAGCATCTATCATGTAACTTAAAAAAAAAAAAAAGTGACTTCAATATCTCATCTCCGAATTCTGACAGTCACAATTAGGGATAGAGATTTTTAATTTTCAGATTTACACTACTAAGGGGCACCTGGTTGTCTCAGTGGGAAGAGCATGCGACTCTTGATGTTGGGGCCGTGAGTTTGGGTCCCACACCGGGTGTAGAGATTACTTAAATAAATAAGTAAATAAATAAACTTAAAAAAAAAGATCACTGAAATTGTTAATCAAAGACCTAAAGAAAAGCTCAGTACCCAAAAATACTTTTAAATAGACTATTTAGATGCTAATACATGATAATAAAACATTTATAACCCTTAGCTCTTAGCTGCTTAAATAAAAAAAAATAAACTCTCATTTATAATTAAATTTGTTAAAGTTTCATATTAATGGGATTACACTAATAAAGACTGTTATTGATGAAATAAAAATTGAGCCTTTGGAAGTATTAAAAACAACTTTTTTCCTGGAAACCTAAACTGACTTTTTTAAGCAACGCTTACACAATGGCATTGACTCCTCTGCAGTACCGCTCCCACATGCTCCGGAACCGGGGTTGTCCTCCTATGTCCCAAATCTTTAAATCAAGACAGACAATTCTTAATAAAGGTATTTTAAGTAACACATTGAAAGAAAAAGTAGAAAAAGGAGAGAAAGATCAGGCAGATATGCCCATGTCCACAATGTTAGAGCCAAATTACTTCTGAAAAACTTAGGCTGAAACAAGTTCTTAATCTAGAAGCTCTTGGGTCCACTTCTAAACTTGAAGTTCATATTTAATATGTTTACACTGTATCTACTCAGTTCTACTAAAGAAAATTTTGTGCAATACTTTCTTTGCTTGTTAACCAATAAATTTCCGTATTGAAAAGTTTCAGCATGTACCAAATCAGGGATCATCCAGATCTGAATGCCAAAAGAGAAAAAAACAAAAAATTTGTATCTGTATATGTTAACAATTTAAATCAAGTATGGTAAAAAGAT